CTGATGGCTCTACCACTATCATCCCTTCCCATCCACGGCTGTCACGGTTGCCCCCTCGAACCCATCCCACAAGCAGCCTCCTGGCATCCCTCTGTCCTGCTCAGCCGGCCCCAGCTCTATCCCTGCTTGCTGCAGTTCCCCATGGGAGGTTCTCCCCCACCAGCATCCAGGCTAATCAATTTCCCCATCCATGTTCACAACTGGCCACCAATACATTTACCTCAATATTGCCTCTCCCCGGGGAGTGGAGGGAATAATTCACTTTGTTTTGTGATAAGCAGTAAATTTTCTGGAAAAAAGAAATTTGGGGGTATCTAAACTGTTAACAAATTAGGTCAGGTTCAATAAATTTTCAGCCAATGAAAAAATATCAGGGAAGTGACAGGTGGCAAGAGATGCCAAAAACCTTGAGACAGTTCACTCTGACATTTCAAAAAATGAGCCTTTTGACTCCTCTGCCTTGAAATGCATTTCTCAATTACAAACTGAACCACAAGAGTAGAAAAATTATAGGAAAGGATTAGAATACCCAAACTTGAAGCAACATTGTGCCTTGGATTGAATTACAAGATCTACTGATCTGAGGCAGTTTTGCCCCACAGATTCTTCAGTCCCAGAACTAAACTTTTTGTCATTCCTCAGCTCTGCCAGCACGGTCATATGCTCAATGTATAGACTCTCTTTTTGTTCACCTCTGCCCCCAAACACTATTCATCTGTCTGATCTCTTTTCTTGCATTTCACCTTTTTTCCTGGAAGATCATCTCCTTCAGGTTGAAGGTAGTCTCCATACTGAGTTGTCACCATCTCCTATTTCAGGGTGTCAGGCTTCTCCAGAAGGCTTACCTAGGTCAGTCTGGGCATCCCTATGACCAATCTCCAACCAAACAATGAAGATGCTCTGTTGCTGGCATAGAGCTGCCTGGCCTGTGCAAAGTTTGCTTTAGATCTTTTCAGCTGTCACTGTGGAGATCTTCTTCCCAGGGTTATTTATAAAGCAGGCTTTGATTCAGGTGCGTGTGAGCCATTGGTGTGTTGGGCAGTGCACAAAGTGCTCTCCCATCGCACAGCCCTACTGCTCTTTGCACTTCCTACACCCAGCCCCCTCCCTCCACCTGGCCCCAGCTCCAGGTGCCCAAGGAGGTGGCTTGACCCATGGCTGTTTTTTGGGGAATCCAAGTAGCAGCAAGTTGTGTGACGATGTGGTTTACCTGAGCTCTTGGTTTGGAGAGGGACGGCCTCTCTGAGGAGTAGGCTCTGCACAAGCGGTGTGAAAGTGGCAGCAGGCTGGCACAACAGAGCTTATTTGTGCCCTTCCCTGCTAGGGCTGCAGTGGGAAGATGGGCACAGTGGGGTAGGGGCTGCCATGCCTGCCCTGCCTGCATGGCCATGGCACTGCCAGCAGGCCCTGCAGGCTCCTCAGGGCAGCATTTCCTTTCTTGCCCATGAAGCACCACGCAGAGCAACAGTGCTTTATAAATAATAGATGTTTAGAAATGCTTTGGAAAAAATCCTCTGTAGAAGGATACAGGGAGAAACACTGCTGAGGCATCTCTAAGACTGCTGGAGCCACAGGCAATGCCATCATGTCCATCCATCCTCCTAGAAGGCACTGCTCCCTGTCTTACATGACTGTTTCCTTTGCAGGCATCTTACACTGTAGCATTAAGACACAATGGGGTGTGCTTTGCTGGGACATTAATAATACATTGGTTCCATTCTGAGCTGTGCCTGTGAAGGCTAAATGACTTCAATAGCCCAAGAAACGTATTAATGCTCCAGCAAGCTGCATCCTGGAGTGGTAATTCAGTTTTATTTTGTCACGTTGTTTCTGATGCAGGTTTCATGACGCTGTGTGTCACAGTGGTGCGCAGAGGCACGAGGCATCCCCCCTGTGCCTGTGGGCAGGGGCAACTGGAGCCCCAGTCCCCATAGGCTGAGCACTGGAGAGTGTCTGCTGACCTGTGCAACAGAGGCAGCAGTCTGGGGCTCAAAGGGCACATCCACGCACTGGGAATGGGAATACAGACTGTCTGTGTACGCCTAGTGCTGCTGCTAATCACATTCTTCTGAAGGAAAAGCCAGGCTCCTTGTTAGCAAGAGAAACGATGAGAGGCAGAAAAAGAAATAAAACGATATCCCAAAGAGTGTGAGAAGGAAGGAAAGACAGACTGCCGTTTGTAGGAAGTATCTCACCTCATTAAGCATCTTAATTCCCTTTTATTGTTCGTGCTGCACTGAAGGCTCCGAGATGTGTGCGTGATTTATAAACACCGGTGTGCATCAGCTGAGTGGTTTTATGCCGGGCTCAGGGAGGCTGAGGCACGTGTGAGGCTCCTTCTGGGGCTGCTTTTTCTGCAGCATCAGAATTTTGCCCAATTTCATTCTCGGCGCCGCTTGGCTCTGCTATGCCTGTATGCTTTTATTTTGATAAATGTTTGAACACCTTTATGCCAAATGAAGGCAGGTAAATATGAGACCGCTTCACCCTGACATAATTCTAGAATTAATTCATACCTGGATAGCCCTGCATTTCATTAAAGTCCACTAAATAAGAGTCATGGATGTTTATTTGGAGCCAAGGAGGCTTCACGGGTAATTTTATAGTCGTTTAGCAATTTTATTTGTTCAGATTAGCATATTTTAGATTTTCTTATATTCTTAACCATGTTAGTTGTACAATCACAAAGAAAATCTAAAACAACAATGAAAAATGCTGTTGTTCAGATTCCAAGATAAATCCAATAACAACTCTGACAGGATTGATTACAACAGAATCAGCAAAATCTCTCTACTCTTTTTAATGTGGTTTGAGACTTGAAGAAGATAATATGAAATATGTTGCTTGACAGTAGAAGATGCTATGTTTAGAGTTAAAAGCAAGCTGCTCCAAATTTTGTCTTTTGTCGTTGAAACATCTTTTCTCCTGCAAAAGATATTTTATGCTAAAATGCTAGGTACATGAAATTACATTAATTTTGATGACATTTTCTTAAATAATAAAAAAATGAATATTTTTTGAATTATTTATTTGGGAAGTTCTATTTGGTAAAATGAAATTGCAAGCTAGAAGCATTTTTGACATTAAAATCCTTGTGTATTTATTGCTCTAACCTCATTTTGATGTATGTCACCAGCAGTCTTATTTTCTGTGGTGATTGCACGGAACCTTGCCCTTTTTGCATCCTCTTTCTTCACCTTTCCATATCTCTGGGTAATTTCACTTGCAAACACAAACACAGGTACCACCACTCTGCAGCCAGTGGAGGATCCACCTGTGCTTACAACCTGTCTCCTCTGTCCAACTCAGCTCTGGTCTTGCTTCCCTGACGTCTCTTGTAGATGACTGTCTGTCAACTCAGACTCAATGTGAATGAGACAGACCTTGTAATCTTCCCCACATCATGTCTTCCCTGCTACTCCCCTCTTTGATCACTGTGGACATCCTCACCATCCCGCCTGTCATTCAGGCCCATAATTTGTGTGTCAGCTTTGACTCAGACCCTTCTCCCTGGTCCACGCATCCCGGCTATGGCATAATCCCACAGACCCCTCCTGCTTAGCATCTCTAAGAGGGAGCCTTTCCTGGTCAGAACGAAGACAAAGACCCTCATCTCTCCTCTTCTTATCCATGCCTCAATTAAAATGTCACCTTTTTTTTTTTTTTTTTTTTTTTTTTAATTAAGCCTTGATAAATGCAGACTTGGCCTTTTGGTGCCCACTTAAAGTAATACTGAAAATACACTTTTATTAGCCCATCACGCTCTCATTTTCTACACACCTCTCCAGCAGGCACCTTCTTTTTCTTTTAACTAATGCTTTATTAATATTGTCAGTATGAGAACATGGCACAGCATATATCAGGTCATGCCTTTTTATGGCTTATTTAATATTCTACTATTTTAGTGTATTCAATATTTATATTGTTATTGTTACTTGAATAACTAACTTTTCCAGCTATTAAGTATGAATTATTTTCTAGATCAAAGTAACTTCCTCTTCTATCATAATGAAACACTTGAATTCTTGGATAATCTGAACATGAAACTAAGGTAAGAGTCAAAGTGTTTAATTACAAACAAGCAAGAGAGGCTTTGATCTAGAAAATAGGATTTCAAACATTATTTTTTCAGCCTAAAGATAAGATCTGGCATGACAGGTCGCATTACAGATGTAAAGTGAAATCATAGAAAAGTTCTGCTGCTGTGTTGCATAGCCTATGAAACGTGCTGGGGAGACTCGTTCACTGTATGACACGTGTCAGAAGGCTCCTGTCCCCTCCAGTGGCTGGGAGCTTCAGTGTCCAGTCTGCAAACTGGCCCACCCTAGCAAAAAACTGAACTTAAAGCTGGCAGGGCGTCAATGAGCTCATTCTGAGGGCCAGATCCACCTGGACTCAGAGCCCATGGTGTCAGTGGTGGAGCTGTGACAAGGGTGGCTGGGGAGGGTCTCTGGAAACCTATGGTGAGCCTCACCTGCTGTCAGTGTGGCACTGGAGAAAATGTCAGGTTTACATGATTAAAAATATAAGTCAGATCAAAGTTAAATTTTAAAACTTGCTTCTATTCTGGCACAAATTGAGACATGACTTTGTGCTCTCATTCATGGTGGATATGAAATAGCTGCCTTTCCCACGAGTTGCTGTTCACATTCTGGGGTTTGGCCAGTGCTTGGACATAAATTAGATTTCTGCTTAAAATAAATCTATTCACTATTTTACTTTCCTAAAAGAATGTACTTTCTTGTGGAAGTTTTGCAGTGCCACCAGAAAGCAGTAGGAGAAAAGTGTTAAAATTTGCCAAAAAGAAAAAGGAGAAATTGCTGTGAAAGATTCACATGTGTGAGAGCTATTTCACCCAGATATTTTCCCTAAACCACAGCAAAAGTCTCAATTTCTTACAGTGTTCCCCTATCCCTGCTGAGAAATCCTGGGCCCTGCAGGTCCCGTTAGGAGCCAATAGCTGGGGGATTCCTGCATCTCAGAACAGTCTCCATGGAGACTCAAAGTGGGGTGACATCCTACAAACCGACAGCGATAGAAAACCACATTGGCACCATCAGAGGATCAGAGGGTGCTGTGCTCAGCCGCATGCCACCAGGGATGATTTAGTTTATCTGGGTGTAAATCAGATGTGACTCATCAGCAGACACTGCACAGTCAAACGTGCAGAAAACACATCGGCGCTGAATGAGAGCCTGAAACACAGCTCGTTATTTAAAGAGAATTATGAGAATGCCACGAGTTTCAAGAAGATCAACCCCACTGAGGAAGTGAAAGCCAAGAGTTATAGATGTAGCGATAGGAGGCCCTGAGGATTTATTAACTGTTTTGTTTAGACTTACTAAAAAGGAATGACACCCATTATAGTGTATCACGGGAGTGAGCTATCTAACAGCCCTGTGGCTGTGACTGCAGTGGAGCTCTGTGATAAGGTGAGGAGACTGTGACTTTCCTGTGATGAAACATTCAGTAAAACAGAAGTTCTTGCTTTGTAAATTATTTAGTTGATTCAAGAGTTTTCTCAAACAAATATTGTTCTACAAATAAGTACCTCTAAGGGCAAACTACCCTATTCTCAAGAGACATGTATACTTGTGCATGTCTGAGATGTTTCTGTTTTTTTCATGTCAACTCTAAGCAATCCATCGCCGTGTTGTTTCAGGAAGATGCCCTCTGGCTCCATGGGCTCGCCACCTCCTGATCTGCAGTGGCATTTGCTGTTCTGAACATGGTGATACTCAAAGCTTGGCACTGGTTTGGAGAACACAAGTAAGTGGTGCTACTTCGGCAATTCCTCCTGCAGATGGAGTTCCAACATCCCCCTTAGTTATTGAGCCATGTCCCTCTTACTAATTGCTTCTGGAATCCAGACTGGCTTTCTCTTCAGTTTAAACACAGCAATATGTTGAACCAGGATAGTTGAAATGCAACTGGGATTGGCTGTCTTGTTTGGTTTTTTTTTTTTGGAAAGTAGTTTTCAGCTATCCCTCTGATACAACAACAGGAGAGTATCAGATTAGAAGTCCCATTTCACACCATGATTTCTAGCACTGTCCCATGAGGATGCTCAGTCCTTTGTGAGTACTTCTTTTATTTTCGTTTGGGTGAGCTTTGTTGCAGCTTAATATTATTGAAAGTTAAAGGACAGATTGGAGACTGATTATAAGGGTATGGTGTACCATGGGAAAAGCCTAGTAATACAAACGCTTTGCCTGAGACACAATGACTTTGTGTTCTGCAAAAGCTACTGCTGACATCCCTCATGTTTTTATTGATCTAATAGATTCAGTACCGGGATACTTAGAGTTTAGCTTTGCTTTGGGGACTTGCTTATTTTACCTGAACTTTCTCAAAATGCAAGAGATTAAAGAGATCTGATAGATTCTTGAATGCTGGCCTAGAAAAATATACACAAAGTTTCTCATTCAAGGTAAGCCAGCTGTCTCCAGTTACCTCTCAGTTCTGCCACCAGATTTTTAACACCCAGAAGCTCCTGTTGCAAACTCAGGCTGGGGGTGGCTGAGCATTCCCCTTCCCTGCAGGGACATTTCCTGTCTTCCAAACAGGAATTGTGTGCAAGTGTGGTACTTCCAAGGACATAAATGAGTGCTTTAGTTGTTATTTTACTTAATATGAAAAGGTTAAAAGGACCATGAAAACATATAGCGATGTGGAAATTAATGATGGTATCTCTTGTAAGCTAGAGATGTGTATGTACCCATCCACCTTTAATGTTTTAAAATATACATAGCAAAGTGTATAGTGATAACGTACTTGATTTTATCTGCTATAAACATATATATGTCAGACAAATAGCTTCTCTCTCTTCCTACTCCCTGTATTGATAAAATCCAGAGAGGATTTAATCCGAGTGTGCTTCTCCACATTATTCAACTCAACGATGCTCTCAAAAAGTTCAAATATTTAAATTGGTTCAAAGTCAGAATATTAATGGCAGTTCTTAGAAATTCAGTAATAGTAACATTTTTCCAGCTGAAGCATACCGTCACAAATGGCTACATCATGAGCGAACCTAGTTGATTACTTTGCAACAATTAGGAACATAGATGAAGTATAGGGAAACTTCTACTTGTCTAGGTGAGGAGAAACAATGAAGCACCTTCAGCCCCTGACAGCTAAAAAAGCCTGCTGATATTACTAACAGGTAAATCTTAAGGCAGTTCAACATTAGCAGTATGGTGTGTAATCCAGGAGTGAGGGCTTGGATTTTAGATTGTCCCCTCCCACCAAAACAGAAACCTGCAGGACAGCACTGCAAGGTCATGGCACCACCAAGGGACATTTAGCTGGCACCAGCTACAGGCTCCCATCACAGTGGCATGGGGCAGGAAGTGCCACCAGCCAAGCCTTTGGCCCCCACCATCCTTGTGCACCACCACAGTTGTGCATGTGCAACCCTTGTACATCAGGGCTGAAAGAGCAGTGCATAAAAATCAGCTTTAAAGGCAACTGATGTCTGAGCACCTACAGCTGAATAAGGAAAGACACACTGCTGTTCAATGCAGCAGCCCCTTCCAGCTCAGTTCACCGGTTTTGGTGTAAATGCACATTGTTTACTTTAGGAACACCAGCTCCGGTGAAAGAGGGCTGCCAAAGGCAAATGCAGCTTTTTCCAAAGGTACAGTTTTTCAATTAAAAATACACAGAGAGAAAGCAGGCAAAACTTACATGGAAAATTCAGCAGGCAAGGAAACAAACCGTGCACAATGCTACACTGCAGCTCCGCACCTCCTAGAGCAAAAGGGAGAGCACATGCTTCACTTCAAGCTCTCTTTAAAACACATCCCTAATTATGAAATCATTACCAGCAATCTGCATGATAAGGAAAGAATTATTATATTAACCTGGGATCTTCAGGGCACTCTGAGGGACCGTGGAGTAGCCCTGCTGCAGCCAGGCAGCACGCTCCCGCCCCGCTGCCATTCTGTGAGTCACTTCTGCCTTTAATCTCCCATTAAAATCCTTTCTAGCCTCTTCAGTTTATGACTGTTGCTGCAAGGTGGTTTGTGGCACTCAGTATTGCTAATCCTTGGGATTGCAGCGTATTGAGAACAGAATAATTGAAAACAGCTTGAAGCAGTAGTAGTTAGGCACACAAATCAATGACAGATAATCATTTAAGCACAAACCAAAACAGACATTTACATGGAAAACAATCACAGCCTTGGAGTTACACCCTACTCTTGCCATGCGGAATCTTTCAGGATTTGGCAGAGCACCCTCTGATGCCAAAACCCACTGCCAGCACACGGCTGTCCCCACGAGACAGCGCTGGCACAGCCCTGCCAAAACCTGAGCCCAGCTCTCAGTGGGACAGTGAAGGCTATGAGGGCTGCAGGCTCCTGGCAGAGCCCAACCACACTGCCAGCCATGTCCCAGGGTGTTGGTGGTGCCTGACGGGTCCCCCAGAGTCCCTCAGCTTGGAGACAGTACAGGGCTGCATCCTGCCACATGACCTGATGGGCCATTGCCCTTCCACAGTGAGATGGTGGGCTCTGCTGGGTGTCCTACACAGGGCACAGGGTCCTGCTGGATGTCCTACACAGGGCACAGGGTCCTGCTGGATGTCCTATGTTGGCTGTGGGGCCCTGCTGGTGTCCCTGTGCTGGGCGCAGGCTGCACAGGTGACAGAGGACATGCAGGAACTGCTGCTGACTTGCTTGTGCAGATGGGAGCACATATTTGCCTGTTGTGTTCTGATGACAATCGTATTTATACCAGCTGGTTGAAATGTTTTAATAAATGATTACCTGATGAGAACACTTTCTGATGGCTGTGGTGCTGATTTTTGCTCATTTTTCCCATGGCTCAAGTAACTGTTCAAATTAAAATACAGAACAAAATCAAGAAAATGACTCTTATGTCTACTCCTAGCGAGGTGAGTGGGACTGTCTCCCTGTTATTTAGCCTTTCACTTTAAAAGCATCAGCATCCTCACGGGGAAAGTTTCAAAACTTCAGATGCCAATTTTCCTTCCACTTTTTGTGACTCCGGTGAAAGGGTATTATTTATCAAACTAAGTATATATTATAATCATCTCAAAATGGTAAAGATCAAAGACTACCTTGCATCAGACAGAATTACAGAACCATAACATTTTATCTTGTTACAGCCGATATCAATCATGACATGACAGCAAGCTACAGAGAATGTTTTTCCGGGCAGCACCACTGACACACTGCATCATCCGAAATAGAGCAACCAACCAGCATGTGTTTTGGGTGCAAAAGGGAAAAACCAGTGGCATAAAGGAGTGCTTTCAGTATCCGTGCCAATACGTGTGGTCATTTGGCAGTGAAACATGGGCACGCAACTTGAATTCTGCCTGCAATTGTTGCATCGTCGCAAAAAGGGCTGAAATCCTGTGAAAGCAAAGTGAGCCTGATTCTTGGTGACAGCGATGACATTTTCCACAGCTGCCCCTGAGTGCAGTAGGGTCTCCTACACGATGCTGCTGCCCTGGGGTGTGCTCCATCCCCCGTGCCCAGGAGGATCCAGAAGCTCACCAGTGAGAGCACAGCATGGCACTGCACAGCACAGCTGGGCACAGGAGGGCAGCCCAGTGCCAGCCCCTCAGCTTGCAGATGTGGGTTTGTTTAATGGAAAGCTTGGATCAAGAGTCTTTTCAGCATGGCCAAGAACTGAAGAGGGAAGGAGTGAATTTTCTCCCAGCCATCCTGGGGCTTTATTAGCCTTAGCTTCACAGCTCCAGCACTTATGGTGCTGCACACACCATGTCCCAGACTTATGTCTGGGAACATCTGGTGGAGAATAGAAAGGAAAGGGGAGATCTGTTCTCATACCCACCCCTTCCACTGTGGATGAATCCCCCTCCCCCCACCTGGATCCAGCCCGCTTATTCCTCTTTGCCATATGTACAGGTAGCACCGCTTTGTGCTGAAAATGCCCTTGAGCTGCCAGCCTGGGGGAGACTCTGGGGCTGCAGCAGGACTCTTCCCACAGGCAAGACATGGCCAGGCCCAGCACACCAAGGTCACCACCTGCCCAGCCCTGGGACTCTGAGCGAGGCCAGGCGATGGGGTGGGGCAGCATCAAGCAGGCTTGGATCTGGTGACTGGAGCACCTCAGTCTCTGTCTTTGGGTCGTATTAACATCAACATTTAATAACTTTGCTTCTACCCTTCTACAGTTTTTTCCCGGAGACTTCCGACCAGAGAGGAAACACTTAAAGCACAGTGAGGAGCAGAGAAAGAAGCAAAGCAAATGCCACCAGGAAAGTATAAGGGCTCAACAAATTTAAACAACTTTGGTTTTCTGGATTCTCTTGCTATTTGAGTACAAAACTGCATTGTTTTACACAAATAGCCCATCTTCAAATTTTCAGTCTCCTTTCCTTCTGCTTAGAGCCACACAATGCACTTCCCAGTCAGCTACTAAAATGTTTCTGAAAACTTGCAGAATTATTTGAAAAAGGGCATTCCTATTCCTTATGCATAAAACATGCATGCATATTCATATAAAACATTTAGAAAAATTTGTACCAGTTATAATTAGCATGTTTTGTGCATCTATTTTCTTTGCTATTAAATAACAAATTTGTGGTAACCATAGCAACTGGAACATCACATGGTACTGGTGCTATTTTGGGGATAACATAAGTACCTTTCTTAAAGAAGCATTCACACCTCTAAGCTATGAATTTTAATAATTTTCATGATAAAATATCTGTTGGGTTGATTGTATTCATCCCTCACTACAATGCTGATTTAATGCAGAATATACTACCTTGTTTTGCATTGCCTGTGACCACTTAGAAGCACTAATGGGTCCTCTAGCTCTGCAAAAAGGCAACAGACTTTTAAGAAAAGGAGAAGCTACACCACATATTAAAGGAATTCACATTGAGAAGAAAAGTACAACAAAATGAAGGATTTCTGTTATTGTTTCTGGGAACAGAGCAACCATAGGACTGTAGCTCTTTATGCTTATACAGAGGAAAGCAGAGAACAAGAGATGCTTTCATCCTGGGCAGATACCCTGCTGCAATAAGTGGAGGTGTTGCAGAAGCTCAGCTGGAATCTGGGAGAGGTTCCGGGGGACACCATGAGCTGAACCCCAAAGGTAGCTCCCTCCACTACAGCCATGTGTGGAACACCAGCTGTGTGCAACCTCTCAGAACCTCACACCAAAGGAGATAGAGAGCAAGAGACTGAAACCAACAGCAGCCTTTAGAAGAGTTTAGGTGGGAATAAGATCAGCAGCCACGTGCTGGCTCCCGCTAGGGCTCTGAGATGAAACACATGTACAGCTTGCTGGAGCCCTACTTTACAGATAGGAGCAAGTCACCTCAATAACCCCCGCCAATGTCATGATAAATTGAGGAAAAAAAATGGGAGAATATAGAAGAAAATTCCTTCAGTGTTTGGAACTGGTAGCTCTTTTAATCATGAATATAAAAGTAGGATAAACCACGCAGGCACCTGTGAGAAATGAATGCCATTGAAACCATCCACCCACAATGACACAATTAACTCTTAGCACGTGAGCATCTATTTGGATGAAGACACCCTAAGATACCAGGATAGTGCTATCCACCATCAGGGCAAGGGAATTGAGGATCATAGAATCAACCATGAATCATCCAATCATCTTCCACTCTGGGTGGCTCCTACACAGGTATCTTGGGTTAACACTCACAGTAATGAGGCTAGCAGGCTCTGAGTTGCTCTGGTCAGCTGTACTTGGCAAGATGGGATCTGGAGCAGGGGAGTTTTACCAGGACAGGAAAGTAAAATGTGTGTGCTGATGAGAGGAGCTTTGGGTCTGAGTTGAAAGGAGAACACAGCAAGTATGTGTGAGAGACAGGGGCATGTAAGTCTGTGTAGGATGCCATAGAGTAGTTCTGTGCGTCTGTTTTCTATGCTAAATAGTTCCAATGGGGTCTCTGCTTTGGGTGTGCACATCCTGCAGTGCTGCCCTGCTGGGTGCACGGCTGCAGCAAGAGATGAGCTGCTGTGGTCTAGGGCTTGTGCCTCCGTGCTGTGGGAGCTGGTCTTCATTGGCCAGCTGCAGGCACTGCGTGTTCCTGGGGCAGGTACAGGAGTAAAAGTTAATGAGAAATTATTTTGTAATCTCACTTAGACCAAACCTTGCAGATCTGAGCCATGCTGGGAATTAGCCTGGGTAAAGACTCAATAAGTAATCTGCTTTCCTACCACTTCCCCCAGTTCAGCAATAGCACTCACAGCTTCTCTGTGGAAGTCCATTTTTACACACTGCTAATTAGTTTTAAGCACAATGTGATAGGACATGCGAGAATGGCATGATACTGCATTGAGGGAGGTTCAGAGTGGAGGTCTGGGTTATTAGGAAGATGTCTGTATTGTGATGGCATCCAGGAACAGGCTTCCTGTTGAGGTGGTTGATGCCCCTAAGCCTGTCAGTGCTCAGGAAGCACTTGGATGATGCCCTCAGTAACATGCTGTAACTTTTGGTTAGCCCCAAAGCGGTTGGGCAAAAAAAGGACTGGCAAGGCAGTGCTGGGCTGCCCACGTGCTGCCAGCAGCCTGGGTGGGAGCAGAAGAGCCCTGGCAGGCAGCGAGGGGCAGAGGCATGCTGTGCTTCCCACAGCTGTGCAGTCAGATGGGAACCTCTCCGCCTCTGTTGTGTTTGGGTGGGAGAAGAAGAGAGGAACAAGATTTGGGAGATGCTGGTAAGTGATAAAATACAAAACAATCCTTTTTCTTATGTTGTAAATGAATCACTTTCTGCCATTCCCTTTGTTAAAGCTCTTAATCCAGCCTGTAAATAGAGACTTTCCCTTCGGAGTGCATGTTTAGATATAAGACTTAGAGCTAATCTGAAGTAATGGGATCAGAAAATAGAAGATATATATCAAAGAGAATGCAGTATACACTCACACTAGCGAGCGTGCTCCTGCAGCCCTCCCACCCGCAGCACTGGGGCTGCCTGCCTTTGGGCACAGAGCATTTCTGTGGCATTCGTGACCAACTTTGTACCTTCCTTGTTATGCTACCCAGAATCCTGTACTTGAAACCGTCAAAAAGATGATAGATTCTCAACACAGGCAGTTCCCTTCTGTAAGCACAGCCAGGGCAAGGCATTGTTCTTCGTGGCTCTGGAAGCACTCCAACTCATATTCAATTTCCACAGGAAGAAATCCTGAAGCTTCACATACTTGTGCTGATTCCAAAGAGCTCTGTGACCCGGGCAGTGGATTCTGAAATCCTGAATTGTTTTCTGCTTGCTGGAAATTCTCACTGCCTGAATGGGAGTCTCTATCAAGTAAGAAATTAAAGGAGAACTGGAATTTCTATTGTGGTTCATAAGGATTAACATAAAAATATACTGAGAATATAAATAGAAAACAAATGCATATATTTTTACTTTAAATCCATAAATAACTGAGCCACTTTCACCGCACTTGGTAATTAAAACATTCTGATGCCATTTGATTGTATTTTCCAGAGCAGCTTTTCATCAGATTATCTTTTTCAATGGGTGTCACTACTGACCTGAGATATTTTGAAAGATATTAGAAGCAATACAAAGAGATAAACCTCAAACCAGCACCACTGAGGTCATTTGGGAAAGGCACTCAGACCAGCAAACTCTGAAAGCAAAGCTTTCACTTCTTGCACTAATCTGTGTAAACTATGTGGAGAGTCACACACCAATAATTAGACCCAAGGAAAAAATACTTCAGATTTCTTGGCTGATGCCCAGATGCATTTTGCATAGCAGTAGAGGTAGTGATTGATCTCTGTGGCCACTGCTGATCTTGACAAGCCTCTATCCCCTTCAGGAGCTCTGTGCCAGCAGCAGGCAGGGACATGGCAGCACCAACACAACTTCCTGATGGACAGCAAAGGTCTCAGGGCAGGCAGGGGCAGGTCCACAGGTCCAAGCCTGCATTGCCAGCAATTGCAACTGTCTGAATGACACAAACAAGGGACATGCAGCCATGTCTGACTCCTAAAAGTAGCCCTTAGCACTGCTGTGCAATCTTCTCAGCAGTCTGGGTGAATCTTTCTATGCTGATGCTAAATTCTGTTTTCCTCCCAAAGTAAGCCTGGTATCTATCAAAGCCAGAAATCACATTGCGAACATTTAAAATGGTTGTCAGTATTAATGTGTTTGCTTCTGAACAGCAGAGAATTGTGAAAAGTTTGCTTTGAATTCATTCCTATCTTACCTCTTTAGATACCAGTAAAGGTAACATTTCAATGTGACCACACAAGTAAGTACAACTCACTCTATTTTGTTCTCTGCATTACACACTTG